AACTGTCAGCACACGAATACGGAAACAGAGCTTTTGATTTTTTGATTTCATTCTGCAATTGGTCCTGCACATCAAATTGGGTCTTTTAGAGTTTCTTGGCCTGGCGGTGTCGCTGCTCTCCACGGATGAGGTTGAGAACGGGGCAGCGGATGGACGAGTGGCGACGGCAAGCTATCAGGCTACGTATCGATAACGCAGACGAGGTTCTGTTCCAAGGCAAGTAAGTTGCAGGGTCCGGGGTGGCATCGCTAGTGGCCCCCGCTGGCGGATCCCCCTGTATTCAGCCGTAACGTAGCGCGGTGGTGCTCAAAGCTTGCGCCGGGTTCATTGCATAATACACCGCCAACGGGGATTGCTGGGGCCTGGGAAAATCTCTGAGTTTTTTTTTTTGTTGCAACCGCGGGAGGCTACTTGCCAATCTGGGCAGGCAACACGTCGAATTGCTTGCTGCCTAGGGCCTCGGCCGTGGGGATTGGTAATGGAACCAGACCAGGCTGGTGCCAAGCTCGGGTCTGCCTTGTACTGCGGCGGGGGGCCTAGTGATGCTGTTTGATGAGGCTCGAACAGGACTAGATCCACGGCCAGGGCTGGCTACCGATTGGCCCGTCGCGCCTTGCTCGGTAATAGGCTGCTGCGGCTGATTAATCACTCGGGTGATTCATCATGGCTGAGCCTCTGTAGTGCGGCTGCCTACTGCTATTTAGCTCAGCGCCCTCGCCACGGTTTCAACTCGCACTATTCCGCATATCTGGCAAATTGAAGAGACAGCCTCGCCTGGTGCCTACACTACCGCTACCCGAAGAGCGAATAGCGTGCGCAACTAAGCAGTCAATCCAGAGCCGGACCACGTTGCCGTTGTTGAGGACGGACAATCAGGCCAGTCATACCGGACCACCTAGCCTTTGTCGTTGCGGACGCAGTTGTAGTCAGTATATGAAGAGACACTTCCAGACAATCCCCAAGTTGCTTCTCCTCCATCTGTCCATCTCGTTTGACCTTTGATCACTACACCATCGTGAAACTCTGTGTGATCCTTTTGTCTGGTGGCATCCTCTATCAAGTTTTCTTGTCCTTCCACACGCAATTAGGAAGCTGAATCGTCATCCGTTTGATCTTTGGTCTACAGGTTGTCACCCAAGCTGCGGCACCCGAAACGCCTGATCTTGGCTACTTAACTTAATCGCCTGCTTTATTGTCTGTTGATTTATTGCCACTTCATCACCGCCAATACTCTATCTAGTTCCTCACCCCTCGTCCTCCGTCACAATGGTATTCGCTGCTCATTATAGGTGCGGATGCTTCATCTTCGTCCAGCACCAACGCCAGTACATCCCCCTTGTCAAAACCGAAGCACGGAGTCTCATCCTCGCCAACGCCTCACGCACATCCCTCACACAGACGTTTGTCAACCCCCTAAAGGACCGAAATCTAGAAGAGCTCCGATACGAGTTCCCCCTTTATGACGGTGTTTCCGTCGTCTCCTTCACCTGCACAGTCAACGACCGTGTTATTCATGGCCGTGTCAAGGAGCGCCAAAAGGCCCGAGAGACCTACGATGAGGCGGTCCGCCAGGGTCAGACCGCCGGTCTGCTTGATCAGTCCCTTGACGCCTCTGATGTTTTCACCATGAGGATAGGCAACGTCCCGGCCGGTGCCCTGGTAAAGGTTGAGATTGTGTACCTGGGCGAGCTCAAACATGACGCAGAGATTGACGGCTTGCGTTTCACCCTGCCCACATTTATTGCGCCTCGATATGCGGCATCAGAGCTCGTTGGTACCCATGCGGATTCCAACGCACAGGCTACCGGAGGGCTTTCGGTCACTGTCGATGCTCAGCTTCCAGTCGGCTCCTCGATTAAGACGGTCCAGTCTCCCTCACACCCTATATCCGTCCAGATTGGTTCCTGCTCGACGGACTCCAATACGAATGAACCGTCACTCCAGAAGGCATCAGCAACTTTATCGCTGGGTTCTACGGAGATGGACAAGGACTTCATCCTTCAGCTTTCCGCAACTAAGCTCGGCGACCCGAGCGCGGTGCTGGAGACACATCCCACTATTCCCAACCAGCGTGCCCTCATGGCCACTCTGGTCCCCAAATTCAACCTCCCCGCGGACAAGCCCGAGATCGTCTTCGTCTGTGATCGGAGTGGCAGCATGGGCGGCGGGCAGCAGATCCCCAACCTCATCAACGCCCTCAACACCTTCCTCAGGTCCCTCCCCGTCGGCGTCAAGTTCAACATCTGCAGCTTCGGCAGCAGCTACGAGTTCCTGTGGCCCAGGTCCGAGTCGTACAGCCAGGACAGCCTCAACAAGGCGGTCAACTACGTCAAGACCTTTTCTGCCAACTTTGGAGGCACCAACATGTACGAGCCCGTGGAGGAGACATTCAAGCGCCGCTACGAGGACATGAACCTGGAAGTGTTCCTCCTCACTGACGGTGAAATTTGGGACCAAGAGAGGCTCTTTGAGCTGATCAATGCCCAGGTAGCGAGCACCAAGGGTGCAACCCGCATATTCTCCCTCGGAATTGGCCATGGCGTCAGCCATGCTCTCATCGAGGGTATTGCCAGAGCCGGTAATGGCTTCGCTCAGACTGTAGCCGACAACGAGAAGATGGACAAGAAGGTCGTGCGGATGCTCAAGGGTGCATTGACCCCCCACATCACGGACTACAGCCTTGAGATCAAGTACTCGCAAAAGACGGAGAATAAGGCAGATGATGATGAGGGCTTCGAGCTAGTTGAGAAGGTTGAAAGCCTGACGTTTTCTGACGCCATCGCAACTGAGTCTGACAAACCACCCGCTTACCAAGGCCCGAAGCCTACTCTCTCACTCTTCGATAATAGCATCAAGGACAATGAAGATCCTGAGCCTCCCAATGCCTCTGGTGCTGATGGCAAGTTCGACCACCTCCCGGATATCAAGAACCCTACCTACCTCCAATCACCCTACCAGATCCCCCCCTTATTCCCATTCCACCGCTCAAACGTCTACGTCCTTCTATCGGAATCCTCACCAAACAAGGTGGCCAAGTCAGTCGTGCTTAGGGGCACCTCGGGCCACGGGCCCCTCGAGCTGGAGATCCCTATCACCGTACTCCCTGAGAGCGGCGAGATGATCCACCAGCTGGCTGCCCGAAACGCCGTCAAGGAACTGGAGGAGGGCCGCGGCTGGATCTTCCACGCCAAGGACTCCAAGACCGGGCAGCTCCTCAAGACGCAACACGACGGGCGCTTCTCTGACCTGGTGGAGCGCGAGGCCGTCCGCCTCGGCGTCACCTACCAGGTTGGCGGGAAGTGGTGCTCCTTCGTCGCGGTCGACGGCGAAGGAGGTGACGACCAGGTCCAGCCTCAAGCCCAGCCCGTTATGGAGAAGGAATCGGTCAGCCATATGGCGTTTGCCCCTACTTTTGGGGCTGCAGCGCGAGGGGGTGGTGGATTTGGTGGCGGACTAATGAGAGCAAGAGCCAGAGCCGCATATTCACCAAGCTCTGCTAAAGGAGGCCTGTTCCAGCTGCACGGTGCTCCCGGCGGCGCTATCCATTATCCTCCACCACCACCCGCCCCGTCCAGGGTTTCGCGGGTAATGAACCCGTTCACCTCCATGTTTAAAGCAGCACCGCAGGCGCAGGCCGAGCCGGACGATTCGATGTCCATGTTGAGTAAATCATCCGCGTTTGGTGCCCCTTCTGCCTCTTCTGCGGCGCCCACATCGTTCGCATCATTCGGTTCGATGCCCCCAGCCTCCTTCGGCGGTGCTGCTCCCCCTCCCCCTCCGAGCGCTCCTGCCCCTATGGCGAGTGCCACGTATCTCCCGTCCGGTGACACCTTTGGAATGGGTGTTGGGATCGAAGAACTCAGTGGGACGCATGACCACCTCCTCCAGAAACTATCGGGATCTCTCGTCTCGAGGAAGAAGAAGAAGAAGAAGTCTGTAGCTCCCGCCGCGAAGGATTCATGGGACGAGGAGGAAGAGGCAGGCGACGGCTTTCTCAGCAGGCAGCAGCAGCAGGAGAAGCTGACGGGGGATAACCTACAGGACATCATCTCCCTGCAGGAGTTCGCCGGGAACTGGGGGTGGACCGACTCACTGGAGAAGGTCACCGGCGTGAAGCGCGACGCGGCCAAGGCTGCGGCGGAGGGGTCGGGGCTGAGCCTCGAGGGCCGCAGCCCGGATGTCCTGTCGACGGTGTGCGCCGTCGTGTTCCTCCGCGTCAAGCTCGCGGGCGAGAAGGAGGCGTGGGAGATGATTGCCTCCAAGGCCGTGTCGTGGCTCGAGGAGCAGCTTGGGAGCGAGGAGGAGATTCAGAAGTGGGAGGTGGTGCTGGAGGGGTTGTTTGCTGGATCTAATTAAGGAAAGGAGAGGATGAAGAAATGAGTGATGAAGTTCAAGATGCCATGGTTTTTACTTGAGGTTAGTTATTACGATGGAAAGAATTCTAGAGGCAATCAATGCCTCCAGCTATGTCTGTATGGTTTGTCACGCCTGTTTATATGTACTTATCTAGTTCCCGATGGGAAATTGAAAGAACCAACGATAAATTCGACCTGCATCCTGTTCCATAATGTGACTCGTAAACAAGTGCGCCATTAAGTCTTTTATTGTAGTTTTATTGTAGTGCAGGTTATGTAGCCATGATATCATCTAGTGGGATTTGAAAGGGGTAAAAGTCATGTTCTCATTAACGCTGGAGCGTAAGGTATCGTGTAATATAGTCTAAGGAGTGTAAAGAAAGATACTTTTTTGTCTTCTTTTTGGGCCGCTGCCCTGATCAGGCATACCTCGCGGCCTCGAGATCCTCATCCCCCGGCACCGGAGTATCGCAGCTCTTGATGTGCACGCTCCAGAGCCCTCCCTCTCTCCTGGCCAGCACAGCCGCCGTCAACCACAACCCCCCGATCACGGTCCAGATGGTCGTGATACTCTCCAGAATGTCCAGCGCCGGCTCCTCGTCATAATGGAGCAGACCGGTCATCACCAGACATGCGTACACCAGCATGCACACCTGCCTGACCACCCCCAAAAGGCTCGCAACCGTCAGCTGCATGCCCATGACCCTCCCGACGGGCCCCATCGCCGCCCTCGACACCACGATCCCGTACACAAGCACCGCCACCACGCCGCACAGCAGCAACACCGCCACGGTGATCTGCAGAGCGCACCCCGTGAGGGAGTCGCTGCGGTGCTGGATCTGCATCCACTTCGCCCTCGACCCCATCTGCGTCAAGACCCCCTGAGCCAGCGCCAGCGCCAGCGTCACTATCAACGCGACCCAGGCCCCGATCCTCTTCCTGCCGTCCCGCTTCTCCTCCCTGGCGGCCGTGGCCTCGTCTGCCTGCGCGGCCTGCGAGCCGGCCACGCGCTTGAGCCCCAGGATGAGCTCCAGCTGCAGCATGAGGATGTACGCCGCGGTGATGAAGCCGACGAGGTTCTTGAGCGGGCGCAGGAACCCCATGGCGCGGGCGTGCGTCTCGACCGGCTTGCCGGACATCTGGACGTCCAGGTTCAGGCAGTGGACGGCCAGCGAGAGCGGCAGCCAGACGACGGTGAGGATGACCCAGCACGTCTTGAGCCAGCTGGCGGCCGAGCGGACGGGGTCGTTGGTTGACTGGATGCGCCGGAAGATGAAGACGGTCGAGGCGACGGAGCACAGGAGCGCCGAGACGATCAGTATGACCGGGACGGCCCATACCACCACCGACATTGTGAGTGTGTGAGGTACAGAGCGAGCTGCTCAACAGCTCTGCTCAGCACCCTGCTGATTTTCCGGTGTAACTGAGCTATCGGTAAGCTCAAATTTGATTTTCGATTTCGAATTTGGTTTCTTTTCCTGTTGGGTACCAGCCCCTAGCCGAGCTGCATCGAACCAATTTCGTAGCTGTAGCCAAGCTGTTGGGGAAGAAAGCGACCAGGACGCGGATAAAAGCGAAATGAACTGCAGGAGATCTAACCTCCTTGATCATTCCACAGGTGAACAGCAGCGATGAATTGGGAACACACGGAGAGAGAGACCGAGGAAAGTCTGCCCCAGAGTGCGGTCGTTCAGTTGAGCCACCTACATATGAAACCGCACGGCAGACGCAGGTTGAGCGGCTTGTGGGGAGGGGTCAAGAAAAAGAAAGGGCCCATGAGGAGAATTAAATCGAGCCATCACATCCAGCCCGTTTCCGCGAGGAGGAGAAAAGGCTGCCATTTGTCAGGGCCTTGCCAGACTGACCCTACCCATGGCTGGCGGCAGGGGCACGGGGAGCTTTGGGGGTGAGGTTTCAAAAGTTAATCCTGACATGATGTTCGGAGGATGCTCGATTGGGGGCTGGGGTCGACCTTTTTGGGGGCCTAGTCATGGTTTGACCCTGGGTATGGGGAGAGCATGTTTTGGCCTCTTGCTCGCTTAATTGTCTCGTCCTAGTCGCTGTCTGCTCTCAACTGGCTTTCTATCACAAACATCGGGGGATGTCGTGGTGGAGCGATGACCGTGGAAAGACGGCATAGATGCATTAGAACAATATAGCGTCGGTGAGGTCCGCCGGCCGCTTGACATAGATGGCCAGAGCACCAACTATATCGGCCTTTGCCTTCTCGCTTAGTAGCAATGGCCTAGGCCCAGCACAGCGTAGCATAAGCCAAATGCCTCTGTGTGTAACCCTCCAGATGGGTGCTGCCGACGGCCTGTGCGCCGACAAAAATCCTGGACTCAAGTGCCCCAGGGCGGAGGAGGAGCGCAATCAATCCATGGCTACCACCTAAAAAAAGGAGCGACAGCCCCCGGGGTGACCTGGGCGTCGACGATCCTTTCAACCGCGCAGCCTTCCTCGCGCGTGCAGACGCGGCGGACGTGGCGAATCACCATCAATTGGATATATTTTAATTTGTTCACGGCAGGGCAGTCCCAGCGACAGCTCGCGAGAATGCGCGCATGCATAGGCGATCTAGATAGCAATTGACCCTCAAACCCGTGCATATGTACATACTTGGGTAAGGTAGGTACCGTAGTAAAGAAGGTAGCCGCGGAATCCACCGTTTCGCCCTTATCTTCTTTCGCTGCTCTACATCGCCCGCACCTCGTATCAATCAGCTCCATCATGCACGTCATCCCTTCGCAATCACCTCATATCCGCATTGAGTTAATCCAGGAACTAAATGTTTGCCCAATCAACTAGCAAGAGCCTAATCAAACCTACGGTAGATAGGCGAAAGATAGTCAGAATCAGATGCTTGCGGAAGTAGGTGCTTGGTCAAATGCTTCATGTTATTCTCATCGCCATGCTGGCACTATATACTGTCATCTACCTACATGTACATATGTATATATCTAAATATACGACCCTAAGCCAAAATGCCATGTCCCATTCCTTCCCCGGTTTGCGTTTCTTAGACACATAGCGGTAGGTTTTCTACCCCGTCTATCATGAAAAAAAGACTGGTTCCATCACGTCTCTTCTCTTGCGGCATGTAAACAAAGTCCTCCAAAACAAACATGTATGAACGAGTAAAAACAACCATGACTCTTTAAATCATTCAGACTCCTCAACTCCCGAACGGAAAGAAAAGAAAAAGGGAGCCACACTGCCATGCGTAATGACAGTAGCAATGTAGCCGGAGTTATTATGCTGTCACCCTGCTATCACGCGTCCCAGCCACCAGCTCCAAGCAGCTCCCGCGTGATGCCGAAGTAGACAAGTAAAATAAAAGTCAGGGGGTGATCCATCCAAAAGCCCATGGAGCTGCGCCAAGTCTAGTATCAGACACCAATGCATATGTAATGACATCTTTATACAGTCTTGCCGCCACAGTCGGGAATCTCAATTCCGTCCTTGAGATTGCGGTTGACGTCCATCAGCCCCCACTTGTCTTCCCACTCCTTGCCCTTCTCGTTGAAGCGGATTTTCCAAGGCTCATCAAATGCCGAGAACCAGAAATATTGGGTGCCGTTGTTGAGAGCCGGGCAGATCCAGTCCTTCATGAACTGGTTCATCTGAGATACACCGGCGACAGATCCCTTGGTGCAGCTCGTAGCCTCGCCACAGTTGGTTCCACCACCAGAGGGCCAGCCTGTTTCCGAGATGATGTTCTTCTTGCTATCTGACTTCCACAAGGGCCCGTCTTTGGTCTTCCAAAAGTTCATGGTCCAAGTTGCAGCGTCTTCCGCTGCGGTACCGGAGAAGAATGGATGAATATTGGCCATGATGTAATCACTCTCATCAGCCAGGGCCTGTGTCCAGTCATCACCGAGATCCGATGTCGCCACGGGCAAGTTGATTTTGCGGCTGGTCAGGTTCGTTCGCACTCCCGACAGCAAGGTTCCAAGCTCTGTTATTGCCATTTCCTCGCGGAAGAGAATTTCGTTGGCCACAATCAACCCCTCGAACTGGTCGCCACCATACTCGTCCAAAATGTCCCACATCTGTGAAAGCTGTCGCGCGTTGGTCGTCTTATTGCCGTCTTGCCAAACTCCCAGCCAAACCTTGACATCGTTCTTGAGGTTGAGCCGATCAATGGCATGGAGAACCATTTGGGTCTGGTTGCAGTCGGTACCGTAAAGACGAATTTTGTTTGTAAGCTGGCTGAGCACAGCAACGTCTCTCGTGATGTTGTTCTGTGAAGGCGGGTTGTGGATACAGTCGGGGTACTGTGAGTTGATGGGGGTGTAGTCCATCCCAGGGAAGACTTTGTGTAGCTTGGTGTTACTCATCAGCTTCTTGATTTCAGCGCTGTTGATGTCGAGATCGCCATTCTTGTTTGTGTCCTGGTCAGCCGAATCCCCGCTACCGCTGCTGCTGCCGCTCTTATTACCACCACCACCAAGCCTGCCATTTGCCGCCATACTGCCGAGAACTGCGGCAACAATAGCGCCCGCAATGAAGACGGCAACGATAGCAATAATTGTTAATCTGCATTTCTTGGTAAAATGGCCGTCGCTCCCCCTGAAGCGGCCCGGCTTTTCTTGAGCAGCCTCGGCAAGATCATAGCCACTGCCGCCGCCACCGGTAGCTAAAAGGTTTCATACGTCAGCAACTAGAACGAACTGCATTGCGGTGGTCAGGTGGAAATTCTTACCGTTAGCGTTCGAGGAGAGCAAACCACCAATCACGCCGCCACCTGCTGCAGCTCCCGCTACACCTGCAGCCCCCCGTTGCCCACGATCTGAATTTTGTGCTGAGCTCAACATTGAATTACGCTTGCTCGGCATGGGGTGGTGAAGGGCGTCATCGGGGTCGTCCGCGATCTCGTCTGGGTTGACCTCTCCTAGCCTTCGGTCGACACTTCGCGTGGAGCTCGAGTATCCTTGGTACGGGTCATCCACGTAGGGATCTGGAGGGGCGAAGCTGTGCACGCTCGACGGCTGTGATCCGTGAACCCCAGGAGCGCCTGTCATGGAAGAGAATATTAGTATTGAATTGTTGGAAGATTATAGAGTTCGCAAGTATGAAGACATACCGTAGTACTCGTACGGGTAGCCGCCGCCGCCTTGGTTGTAGGGATTGTGGCCTCCATGTGCTGAACGAGAAGGCGGCAATGGAACTTGGCTATCTGACATGTGGTACGACGAATCCTGGTATAGATTTCGGCCATGCTCTGGCGGCGGCGGAGGAGGGCCGTCGTTCTGATATTGCCGCGGGCTCGCGTCTCGGTAGGGGGACTGGTCGCCAAAGGGACCCCGCGGGTCGTTGTGATAGGTGGACGGACCGCCGAGAGGTTCTCTCTCGGCGGGATAACCGTGTGAATAGCTCATATTAAAGGAGACGCCAAAAAGCCAAGACGAAGGACTAGAACCCGCAGATTGTGTTCTCTAGGCGAGGGAAATGGCGCCTCTTGGCGAGGTCAGTAAGGTTGCGAGAGAGCAAACGGTCGCACAACGCTCTATACAGTCGACCGGGTATCTTCTTCCAACAGATGCAATGGTCTCTATGCTGTGATAACGATATGACGGTTTACAGAACGTAAAAATTGCTTCTCGGCATTCGCAGATGACACGACAAAACCTAGACAAAGGCCGAATCGGGAATTGGCGGCGGGCCGTAGTCTCGCTCTCGCGAGGAAGGGAGCGGACAACAGGAACGGGAGAAATCGATTCCCGGGGTTGGATGTCTAAAACTTGGAGGCGATGATCGAATTGCTGGCTCCTTGGAATGCAGTGCCGTGGATGTGGCTGTGGTGGTGCTTGGGAATTGACATGCAGCTCTGTAAATAGACTGGGGGAACCAGATGCGCAATGACGCTGGATGCAGGATGGGCTGTTGCACGCTACGAGTAATCCTCGCTGGGCAGTAAAAACAGGGCGATAGAGTGTCGAGTCCCCCGAATGCTGCAAAAACTTGTCAAAATGCAGAAAGAAACGAATGAGCGCCAGTCGGAGGAAGCTGGCCAGCGTTTGGTGGAGGAGGCAGATGGAATGGAGTGACCAGGAGCAGTGTGTCGGATACTTGTTTCGGCGTCAGGCCCTCCCGTTTCTACAGTAATTTGGCCAGAGACTCCAGGCTTAGTCCTAGCCTCAAGGGGCTGGGTGGGGTTGTTCCGGCGGCCCCTGCCAGCCTGTACCTGCTTAACCTATTGGCTAATTTACTCATGTACTTGCTTTAGCGGCCTCCAATCCGATACCTCGCGCGCGCGGGGTCCGAGGCCCAGAATTATGTACTGGGGCTGTGTTCTGCCCCACAAAGAGCTGGACAGTACATCATAGCACGGAGAATTCATTATATCGATACCTTCCTAGAGCAGGTGCTAAATCCTAGCATGAGCTGCTATTGTCCTCATAGGCAGGTCTTGGTCACAGCCCAGTAACTTCGTATAATTGCACTCGACGCCAGCAATTACTACGTTTGCCGTCATGTGATATAGATGGTACTGGTGCGTCGTTTAGCTGGAGGCTGCGCGGCTGAGCGACCATTAGCTTTCGCGGCTGGGACGCGAGCAACAGCTGAGGGAGCGGCTCGTAAGACATGCTGACCGAGTTACGGTCATGAATAAGAATATTGATTCCCTCTGCCGGCTGAGGTGGCCGTAGGATTCTCGACTGCGTAAGATGGTAAGATGCGCCCCCATCCCAGACCCCAAAGCATGACCGACTGCAGGCATGGACGTCGCTCGAACGCTTTCTGTGATTCTCGGCCGACTGCTTCGGCACCTTTCTCCATCTCAGGAAACGAATTGGCGCCATTGGCCCCATTTTTAGGGCCTTCCAAACAAATATCCATCCTTAAATAATCCATGGAAGCATCCATGGGATTTTGAACTGGGGAAAGGCTACTAGTGCCGGCCCACCCTCCATTGCCAAAGTCATGTGGATCATCAATACGAGCGGCGGTCCGTGGATTTGCCTCTTGGGAATGACCGAAAACACCGTCGGCTACGGCCTGGTCCCCTTTCCCGCTCTTCTCGTTCTCAGAGGGTGATTTCGTGTGAATAGGCTGGGTTGGAGCGGTCGAAACGTGCCCAGTGGCGGTGGTGTTGGCAGCTTCCTCCCTGCGCTCCTCTTGTTGCTGGTGAGACAGTTGAGGTTACGGGTCTTTCTGCTCCACTCTTTCTAATGTTGACGTTATCGACCAGCCATTGCAGGAAGCTCGAGCCAACCACCAGTCAAAGCAGGTCCATGCCTGCCAGGGTCTGTAGGTCGTGGATTCGCTGACGGATCGTTGCTCTCAGTTGGCGCATAGAAAGGCACACCAATTCCAATAACTATTTACTCATCAACTTGGGATCTCAGTATCCTTGAGAACACATCAGATATTAAAAGAGGGCGTCATAAGCAAGGGACCCCCCCAAGTGAACGCTCAACGTCTAATTACATGCATCGGAACTTGTCATTTCTCGACCCGTGCAGCATCATTTCACAGCCCGGCGCAAAATGCATCTGTTCTAGAGTTATCGAGTTTGGACTATCTGCATGAATAAATCTGATTGCGAGCAAATGCAACGGCCGGGGAAGTCGACCAATCCCATATCTCTAATGCCTTGGCCAATCAGTTAGATTCTTCTGAACTAGCCCAGAAAGAATTCAACTTGTTGAAAGATATACTATTATCATATTTTTGGCTAGGTACCTAGTTATGCAGGTCAAAAAGGCACATCCTCTAAATGCCACGACCACCCACCAAAATCTCGTAACTTCAACGGCAGGCAGAAAGAAGAAGATCGCTCTCCACACTTGCGTAGTTAACTTCTCGACAACCAAACACGTACAATCCAGGCCGGGCACTACTATTCCATCCGTATATTTCTGCTAATGAATCATCAGGCCATGCAATTTCGACTCCACGCTGTACCCTCGTACACCGTCGTACACTGTGCTCCTTGAAAGATGCCACAAGCCAATCATGCAGTCATTTTACTGTTAGCCCCAGGCAAACGCATGTAAAGACGGGATTTCAATCTCGGCTACATGCACTCATCCCTTTGCTGATACAATTGGCCTTGGTCTGTTCAATTGCAAGTTTCTGTATATCCCAAGTTCAGGGCGAGGAGCAAAACCTCCTTTTCCCTAGGTAGGGCGAAGCAACTAACACTGCAAATACCCACCCGTCTTGACCAGTCGAACGGCACCCATTTACATATGATTATGGCATTCTATCGATACCGCCAGATGTATCATGGTCCCAACCGCCAATGCAGTGCCCCTATGCAGTGCCCATCTCAAGTTTCGGGTCGAGGCACAACCACGCACCTGTTATTACACATCTTCAAAACGTCTCCAGTAACTCGCAGCTGCAGCTTCGAATTGAATTTGAAACACCAAGACCCACTCCGCGCGCTTCGCGAAACCAGATCGCTGATCCAGCATTCCTCGTCCCGCCCCACCTATGCTGATCACTTTGACATCATGGTGCCGCCTTTTCCCACCGTGCAGGGTTCATCCCAGCCAAGCTGCTCGTATGGAGCTCACTTCACGATGTTTTTTTGTTTTGTTCCTAATACGAAGGGGGCTATGTCCTGCGATATCTAGATATCGCGATACGGGGAGCGACAAGTCATCCTTAGACAGACACGTAAGCTGTCTTGGTCGTACGCCACACCCCATCCAAAAATGGAAGAAAGGGAGACATGATCGACTTATTCTTGCTCCTAAGCCAATGGAACCAAAAAAGAATTCATGAAAAGAGCAAAAATGCGTAATCTGGGAATCGAACCCAGGGCTCCCCGACGCTGCTCGGATGGCAACGGAGAATTTTACCACTAAACCAATTACGCTGTTGATGAACTGTAGGCGCCAAAGAATTGCCTATATTCATGCGGGAATTTCTCGTTGGCATGTGCCGAGGTCAATGCGACCTGAGTGTGAGACTTGATGAGCTTGGTGGTGCTATAAGGACATTCAGAGCTGTCTCTACAGTTGAATACCTGATAAGGGTAAATGAGGCTACGCAAGCAAGATCACAAACGTTGAGACTTTCAGTCTAGAGTCTGTCGGTTCCCCCCTCTCTATTCTTTGTCAGGTGCCAACCTCTATATAGCATCTTGACCTTGAAGCTGACGGTTGACCTTCAATTTTATTCTTAAGACGGCAAAATGGACGGATTCTGTACATAGGTACAATATTGCTGTGCCCGCGCCATCTAGCATCTGATGAGTATGGCTTACTTTGCCAAGAAAGCAGATTATTCAATAGTGATGGTACAAGATTTCTCAGATCAACCTTGATAAAGACTGTAACTACTCTATGTAGCAACCTTGGCGTGCCTTAGATATGGAACCTAACTGAGAACACACAACATAACAGCAGGCCCACCGCAGGGATCCAGAGGGAGTGACACCGACTTGATACTTTCTCGATATTGCGCCCTTTATTCCTCAAAGTCACAAGGATCGGGCCGCGGCTCGTACGCGCTTTCCGGAAATACAGCCAACTCACGAATCTCCAGATAATACTTTCGGGCATCCGGGGCATATATACGAGAGGTTGCGTTGTGCACCCCACGCGTTTTTGTTTCACAATTGGGGGGTCCCAAGTCAAATTGGTAAAAATCCTGATTTTGGTACCCAATTTCCAAGCGGACATGTGGAGAGTAACAATGCAAGTCGATCTTCGACTTCATAAGCCACTCGTTGAAGAGAAGGCAAATATAAGTAAGCTTCGTGAACCGAACACCCTGCTCAACCGTCCTCAGCAACTCTGTTGCTGTTTCCCATATTTCCCCACCACATCCAAGGATCTTCAGTGATTCCAGGCTTTCAGGAAGGCATTCAATAAGGGTCGGAGCTTCCTCAATCTGAAGTGGCATCGGGTGCCCATTAAAGCCGTGATTCTCGGGAGGGCCAGCAAGAATTCCAGTAAGGCACTGACAGCTAACTGTCAGCGTCTTGAGCGAGCGTAGCAGAGAAAGTCGTGTTCCCATATAGAGACACTCGGGATGATCCTGCCATTCCCACCCTTTATCCACTTCCTCGTGCATATTGACACGGACATTCTCTAATGTTTCAGAATGGATCAACAGGGCCTCCAGAATTTCACTGGGCGTTAATTCATTATATTGGTTGAGAAAAGAGTTATGGGTATACTCGAACTTTTTCAGTGCTCTGCAGGCTCTTAACATACTCCCAAGTGTAGGTCCAGCAATGGTAGAGACACCTAGAGTTATTTCTTCCACCGGAGAAGATCGAGGCTGTAAGTGATCAAACTTCTCGGCGGCTAACATATCCCCGTAAAGAAGGGTGCCCTCGTAGAAGCGGAGGCGAGGAAGATGAAATATGACCGGCCCTTGTTCGTGAAACATCTGATAGCCCTCTTCAAATTCAGTGGCCTCATGGAATACATCCTCAACTTTTGAAAGCGGGATGCCGAGCTGATCAAAGTTGAGTTTTCCAAGAGGCGGCTTTAGGTTGTTCAACGACCCAACCATTTGTAACAAACGAATTAACTGTCGTGGCTTGGTAGCTTGTTCGAACATCAGCGTTTGAATATTCGGACAAACAAGCATGATAAGGGCGACCTGGGCATCAGAACAGCCTTTGCTGAGATCATCCACCCATTCGGCAGACCATTTTCTTTCTCCGTCGTAATTCAACCGATCCAATACATCCTCTATCGCGTGTTGATAGACTGAAAGCTCCTCCTTGGTACATTTGATGTCTTGGGGTTGTGCAATATCCTTGATGTGCGTGGCTGTGTCGTTTTCTGAAGAGAATCTGCCCAAAAGGAGAGTCTTGACGTGTATAGCAAGCTCGGGTTTGGATATGACAATGTACCGTAAGAACTGCACATTTCGGGCTCGGGAACAAGGCCCCCCACCGTCAGTCCAAGGGGCTGCGTTTCGGAAAACGTACACGGACAGCGGAAGAGCTATCTCATAGAGCTGCTTGCAAGTCCGCAAGACTGCATGGATCGATGGTTTCCCAAAGGAAGAAACAAGGTGGGAAAGAATCTGTGTTTGAATCTCGGGTGGTAGACTTAGAAGGGAGGTGCTCCTCGAACTGGACTGCTCCATTGTGTCCTGGATGTTTCTTTGTGTATTCTTTACGAGTATGTGGACAACTGAAATGAGTACAGAGCCGAAGACGGGATGTGAGGGTGGCGAGCTATGGCGAGCTACCGAAGCAAACACAACCAACAGTTCAGCTGAGTAGGTAGATTGCCTTACGCCTTACTGTGGGGAATGATGTCCGCGGTTGGTTCCGAAGGGTAACCCCATTGCTTGTTCTTTTGTCATATTACTGCATGTTGGTAGCCAACATGCATCTCCATACGTGCAGGCAAGTGAGCTGTTGGTCAGATCATGGCAGTTTTCTTACCTTTTTGGACAGCCCCATCTTGGCTGGTGGTCTCACCGCATCAGAGAATGAGTTAGTTTCTAAAATAAGAAGGCAATGAGTACCGCAGAAGTGGTTCTAGTCTTGCTATGGGTGAACTCTTGCAGCTCCAGCGACACTAGTCTCCCTGCCCATCCGGATGGTCAACACAGGAACCACCAACAACCGGATCCTGAAATTAGAAAACTCACTGCAATACGTGTGATAATACTCCACTGGAAGAAAATGTATGGCATCTATGCGCGGAGCTATCCTGTATGATATTGCGCAATGACACTTGCCTCGATACGTCGAACAGCCCGATGCCATAAATATCTATATAAGACACTCTCACAAATACTCTTGATATCTGCTTTTCTCTTCATCGAAAACACCAAGAAAACAAACGAAAAAAAATCTTTGAGCTAGTCTCAATCATCTTCCTTTCTCCTACTAGAGCTGGCCTCTTTTGTCCCCTTTCTTTTTCATTCACTTCTTGATAATGAGTTTTCCAAAGCATATCCTTCTTGCCGCCACTTTGTTGCTGGGCTCTGTCAGCACAACGGCGGCTGCTCCAGTCCCTTCTCTTGACCTTCTTTCTCGCGGCACCGGCGAGGCTGGACATTTTCTAGAAACTCGTGGCGAGGATGTCTATCTTCGACTTCGTGAGGCAGGTGAAAAAAGTAGTATCGGGAATGTTGCCAAACCCAAGTTCCCTACGAAATCCAAGGCTGCAATCACCAAAGTCAAACCTCCTCAAAAGCCTAGTCGTGCCAGAAAACTCAAGGAGTCTAGCATCTGGACGAAAAAGGTTTCTGGGAAGCTCGATGCCAAAACTTTTGCCAATACTGCTGCCGAGAAGCTTGCCGCTCACAAAGCAAAGGGTTCCAGAAAGCCCACCTCTGGGGAAGGCGCCACCGGAGCCGGTTCCAAGAAGACCAAATCACGCTCGGGAAATCGTCGTCACGGAGGCCCAGAGCGCAAGGGGAAATTGGGCGGCCGCAACCAGGGGTCCTCCTAAAAGCGCATGAGAAAATGCAACGGCAATGCACGACCTCTTTCTTCTCAAGGTTCAAACCCACCCTCCGGGCACCCCTCACGTGTTTCTGCGGACAGCAGATTTCCCAACCCGCCACCGAGACCGCACACCGCTCAGAAATCAAGCCTGGACAAGCCACTTTCACCAAACCCTCCTGGTTGGTCACATACACAAAGCCGTCAAATTCCCTAGACCACCTGCACCAAACCCTCCCAATAGGTCACCTTCACCCTCACCTGCACGCGCCCCTGCCAACAAGGGTGTGTTTAAGAACGTCGTGAACAAACTCAAGAATGTCAAATCTTTTATCAACCTGAGGCCCAAGAAACCTTGAGCACTGAACTTTCAGGCTCGATCGCGCACTATCATGGCTCATGGGGCACACTCGGTGTACACGTTGTGAGGAAACCATTAGATGCAGCAAGCGGTAGGGCGGGGATGGGACCTAGATTGGGTAGATGATAATTGGAAAACTTTTATTCTTGCTTCTTAAAGACTGGTCACAGAAATCCCCTCGTTCTCCTCAAGCTATTTCTTTACTACCAAATGGAACAGTCAAATAAGAGGTAGAGGAGAATACTATTTGTAACTAGATTCTCTCAGCACTCGTGTGTTCTCGAATGGGTATGGCCGTCTGTGTCAGTATTTTGTAAAACGTTCTAGATCTATAAACTTGGTTGGTACGGCAAGTGCTGCAGACAACAGGGCCGTTAACGCCAAGGTCGGAGCTAACTGGTTTGATGAGTTCCTTAATAGGAACCCCTTCCATAAAGTGCTTCGATAGTAGTATGCCATGCCTTGCAGTCAGTCTTTCACAGTTTGGGGAAAACCCCAGATGAAATCCTTATACCTTTTGCGGTAGAAGTGCTCAGCAGCTAAGCACAGAGAGTGTCAAAAAGAAGCAGTTAAGCACAGAGAGGGAGTCAGAGAAAGAAAGGGAGGTAATGGGAATGAACTGGACTGTGTCGAGGATGGGTTTGGTCGATTTTTGTGCCAGAACAAGCAAGGTGTCCAGGGTGTCCAGGGTGTCCAGAGAGGTTGGAACGGCCCGTGGGATCACAACGTCTCCCGTTGGCGACAGCTATATAGCAGTTTGACCAGAAGCTCAGACACAACACTCGGTGCCTGAAAGCTTCAGAGTGCGCATTTTATGATGCTCCGTAGTGAGGTTGAAGAACGAGTTTAAGCCATAAAGAGGGAGTCGACTCGACCCAAACTCAATGCTAACATTCATCGATGATGCATTAGCCAAGCATAATTAGATATACACGATCCTTTAACAACGATATACACTCGTAATTTCCGATATCCAAGACTCCAGCGCCTCAATACACCCACGCTCGTCCGCAATGATTGAATTCCGCTTTAAAATGTACGCTCGAGACTCGAGCTACCTAATGTCACTAGGATTGCGATTCAAGTTCTCAGCTCTCACGTAGATTTCGCTTTTAACAAACCCCTGCTAAGATCGACAAAGATTCCGAAAGGGGTTGCCGCTGCCAGTCAAGCGTGCCATCTTCCTGCACCATGAAACTGGCCGCCTCTTCGACGAGCTTCCATTCCCCTGTCTCGTAGTCCATTTGCGACGACCTGAAGATGATATTGGTCCCGAAATCCTCAAAGACCACTTCCCGTCTCCGTAGCCGTAGCCATTGGCTGGCCTCGTCATCTCCCATGGCAGCGTATTCATCTTCCACCTGCTGATTTCGAATCGCGATGGCTCTGAATACGCGGCTGTCTCGCAAGGCATTTCGAATGGGATATTGTCCCAGGATGCGTATGGACTCATTGCGCACCGCCGGATCCCTACATCCGAACGATGCTATGAACAATGGCCATGTCCACCCGGAATCCATCGAGAAGCCGCAGCTGGGACGAGACTGCAGCAACATTTCGGCCAACACGTTTATCTCATGGTACTGAGGAGTCAGGCCTTTAGCTGTGACCAGTCCAGAGTACCGTGGGATGGCAGTATAAATGTACAGGATGAGGTACTCGATCCGCATATTTGCAGCTTGCATGTAGGTGTGCAGATCGTTCTGGCTATTTCGAGTTGCGGCGATATAGAGCGGGTCGAAGGCCTCGGCCCATCTCTGGAGCCAATACCGCGATTCTGCAACGAATTTGGCAATCCGTGGGTTCTGCTTCACGCTCTCCAGCTTCATCTCGAGCTCGTGCTCGTCAACCACTCTCGTCAGGTTGAGCTGTGCCGTGGTTGATGTGAGGACAGGGACATAGGACACCATTTGCTTCTGGAGCAAGATCCAATAGCTTTGGGCTTCATCCTGAGTCTGGAATGCACGTGGCATATCGTCTAGAGAAACGACATGAGACTGCTTTGGGCGGAAATAAGGCGAATGTTTTGAGAAGGGCATGATGCCTGGTGGTCTCTGGGGAGGAGGTGACATCTTCGGATCGCCTTGACTCTGAGGGCTCGGTTGGCTTTGAGGACTGGGTAAAGCTGAGTGGCTCTGCTGAGGAGTATTCGACCCAGGTCTCTGATGCCAAGGGGTTCCCGGAGTGCTGAGGGGGCTTTGCGCAGGAGGTGACTGCCGCTGCTGGTGCTGACCAGACCCAGACAGTTGCCCCTGGATTGGGCTAGTACTAGGGCCTGCAGAGGCCGGTGAGCTTGAGTGTTGCTCGGCCGGTTTAGGTCCAGGGGGGAAGAAGAATTTTCTATACGACCCCATGAAAGATCTTGATTGCAGTTCAAGGGGCTTATAGCAGTCGAGGATTTCCGAGACGAGAGCAGGCGGTGCTGGTGCGATGCTGACCAGATCGTCGGCCTTGTCAGTGCATGCGGCGAGCTCGTTCAGCATACTAAAGCCATGAGTGATGTGTTTTAGAGCAGCAGGCATATTGGCCCGCTGTGTCTCGAAGCAGATAAACAACAGCGACGAAAGCATTGCGGTTCGCAAGTTTTCTCGACTTGGTCTGGCCTTGGATTGGATTCGCAAGGCTTCACAGTAGTAGATGATGGCATTGAGATAGTGTTTGTTGTCTGTGGGTAAAGTTGTTCCAACAAGTTGGCCTTCATCTAGGTAAGCTTTTCGCAGAGCGCCGATGGCCATAGCACCATATCGAAGAGTAGGTTCCTCGAGAGTCAACTGGGGCATGGTTGCCGTCCAGAGCCGTGTGATATTCAGACCACCACTTAGGAACGTAACTGATAGAGACGTCCACTCGTCGAAGTAGGCCCTTTGATCGCTATTGCCGAACCGAACGGTGTTGACGTCAGGCTCCATAAGCAGTTTCGACGCCTTCTTCGTGTGAATCAATTTGGCCGAGGTTCCCGGCTTCTTAGCTGACGAGGTCTCTTGCGGTGAGGTGTTGACATAGCCATCGCAATAGCCTCGCCATTTCATACAGTTAAGACACGAGGGCTTCGTTTCATCGCATTTCACATGGCGTTTTCTACCAGGGGTTAGTGGCGATCGAAAAAAGGCAGTAGCTGACTTTGATGTATATCCGCTGCGTATTGCTCTTCATCGTGGAATATATATCAGGAGTGACTCACTTGCCTAGCAAAGCAAAGGTTAGCACGGTTTGAGTTCTATCAGGGGTAAGACAAGGGGAGCTGCATTTTCTGTCCTCCATTGTAGCCCTTTCGAGAATTACAGTAGGCAAAACAAGATGGCGGCATGACACAGAGTAATACAACATGAGCGTGCAGCCCTCTGTGCATCGGCTGTTGTAGAGAAAGACATATCACCACTTACATGTTGCGCACCCAGTGCGGGCACGAGTAGAACTTCGCCGGGTATGTCGAGTTCTTGTATCGAGAGCAAATCGATGTGTTGTTCCTCGATTTGCTGCACTTGAGTCGGGCTCGAGGCCCGGTGATGTTGCTGTGGCAGGCGATCGGGGCAAACTGAACAAAGTCACCCGTTAACTCTGATCTTCCAGCAATATTATCGAGGGCCAATTCGAGATGACGGAGGGGTTCTGGTTTGACTTGAGAAAAAGCGCATCCACCAACAACGTCGAAGCCTCCCTCGACCTACACGGGTAGAGAGAGGACGCCGGTATTGTTGAGTAATCAATAAAGAAATAATAAATTTTGCTTTTCGCTAGTTCCTGGCCATGTTGTCGCTACGTGCTGTGTCTTGGCCGTTGCGCCAGGCGAGCACACGACCACCAATGTGAGAAAATTGAATCGCCCAACTCACCTAGACTGGCTGGGTCTTGGACCAGCATTGTTAATGATAGGGATCGAGAACTGAATCTCCATCTCGGCGCAACTGCAATTAATTCTTGCCGGCTTGGCGTGGTCACACAAAAGCCCCTGGGCTGCGATGCAAGGTTGAGTCGAAACCGGCAGTTAGGAACATTCGTCTATAGCTTAAAGATAGATGGGTCGAGAAGAAATAAATAAGACAGCGGGTACGGGATCACAAGTCAGAGATATAAACGAAGGAAGCCGATCTATAACTCTGCCGCAGCAGGGATGGAGGGAGGGGAGCGAAAGTGAAGGGTCGTGTGAGTCGTCAGTGCGCGGTCGGTTACGGAGACGTATCGGGTGTGCTGTTCGAAACCATGACTTATCGGTTTGCGATCAGAGGAAAAAGCTGGTAAATGCCGGTAAGGGGGGGCCCGGGTGATTTGCAGGTCGCGGGGGATGCGCAAGGAGCTGGGCGTTGGGATGGAGGTAGGGATATGCCACGCCCGGCACGCCCTGGCTGGCAATTAAGCTGTGAGGTGGTATTCGATGAAACGCTGGCAGACGGGCAAATAGCAGCTGGGGCACTATTAACGGCAGGCAGGCCGACGGCAGTATAAGGCAAGCGAAGATCCAGGCAGGGCGCGGAAGGGCGAGTGTAAATGTGCGGAATTAGGGGACGCGGAAGGGCCCGCCCACCGGACCCAGATATGACGAGTGCTGCGATGAGCTAAAAGGCGACATCACCTTATGATCGGTAATTAAGAATGCTGGTCGGACATGTCAGTCGGCGCTGCTGGGGCGTCGGGCTAAAGCACGCCCA